TATAGCGCAGTCCACTTCAAAATACCAAAACCCAGGTATTCTTTGCTGGATTGCAGTAATTATTTTCAAACCGAGCCTTCGTGAGTGAGCAGGTTTCTGCTTTTAGAGTATAGTTGGAAATAATAGTCATTTGTTTTGTGAAGATTATAAAAATAATTAATACCAGTGAGCTTAGTCGCTATGCTATTGAATCGAATTCGACCAAGTCCCTCAAATTCTATGGCTATGAAGGATTTCTAAGGCTATCTAAAAGCTTTCAGAATTGATAGTAATTTTCAATTTGATACTTTCAATGTGTCTAAGTCCACAGTGGCCTCGACTTGGTCTTTGGATCCAGCTAAGCCCATCGCCTTCTATTCATCATGCTATTATAGGCTGCGTCTTACACTCATGTACTTGTGTTTTTATGTACGTATCGACGATAGCTATTTATGGAATTATAAGTGATCGCCAATCCGGCAAATACGAATCGTCGACGGACCGCCCCAAGAGTGCGGATGATCTCCGATCCGATGGATATCAACCTTCCTGGGGCCAGAGTAATATTTATATATGTCCGTCAGTCAATATAGATATCATTTCCTAGATAATCAGAAAATAGACTGTATTACGGCCAGCTTACTTAATTGTTTTTGTTTTGGTGATAGCCTATCACACATGCGCTAGCGGATATGCAACTTTAGTGAGCTATTGACATGTTGATCGAACATATCTCGCTATCGTGGTGTCTCTATAAATTTTTTCATGGCTGGGTTTAGTGTGTGTTGGAAATGGAGACACAGAGTGCTGTGGACGTACGGGCCCTCCATCTCGTGTAGGTTCCCGACACGATCTTGTATGTATTTAAGAGGTTGAAACTGGTAATATGGTAGCGCTTCAGGCTACCTATTGGATATATTAGCGGCTGTATGGCGTGGGCACAAGGAGGTTATTGGGGGTTTTATATGCTTAGATGGCGCCACACTCGTTTTTGCTGTGCCTTAGGCTACATGTCTTTTTATTTGAATTCATTATCCTGATTTAGCGCCCTATGGGCCCATGCAGGTGTCTACGAACTCTAATATTTACATGAGGGCGAAACCATTACGATAAAAACCCCCTCCCCCTATAAAGTTTTATATATCTGTAGTCCTTCGTTACCTACAGTAAGTGCAAATGGCCTTCAGTCAGAGACAAATCTAGGAGAAATTAAAGCTTCCCTCGCCATCCTTTCCCTGCCCTCGCGTGCTGAAAAGAGTTGATTATGGTCTTGAACTTGACCCCGATGGCGGGAATAGATTTTCTTGTAGTACTGGAACCAGGGGCTGTTTGCGCAGACGTCCTTGCCCTTTCCTGTCGCCCTCAGGCTTTTTATGGGACACGAGTGAACCCTTGGTCGGTTGCTGTATTAGCCGTAGGTTGATTTATTACCGTTGGTCTTGTTTCCTCCCTTCTTATATCTGCCGTTTGTTCCAAAAGTTCCCACCTTGCCCTTTGAACACTAGCCTTGTATAACGCGAAGTTTTGACACGACTTTTTCTGCCACGACATATGCGCCTTACCACAGTTGCAGCAAAGCACCGATTTCTTCGGGCAGTCTCTGGTCTGGTGAGTGCCCGCACACTCACCACATCTCCTTGCCATGTTGCAGGAAGCCTGAGTATGCCCCCATTTGCTGCAGTTGAAGCACTGCTTGACCTGTGCTCGGGGTGACCAGAGCTGGGCCGTGTAGAGCATTGAATCCATCACAATGCCGTTTCTAACCACTTCGCGTTGAAGAGCCTCGATCGGAAGGCTTGCGATAACTGACCCTCAAGAATGGCCGTTTGTCTTCATCTATTGGTCCTCTTTGCCGTCGTTAAGCCACCTCACCCTGTTGATTTGGATTCCAGGAATCCGGGTTTTTGTCTCCGTAGTCATTTTAAAAGTTGCCACGCTGTTGTTGGCGTTCTTTCCTCCGTGTATAATTATTCCCAGTGGGACTCCCAAAATTTCAACAGGGTAATCCTGCTTTATGACGCAGAACTCCTTTGGTTGTGCCATCCTCAAGGCAGCGTCTCGCTGGGAGACCGACTGCACAAACACCTCAGTGTCATTACTCATAAGCTGCCTTACGGCATATGCCCCCTCGATATGTTTTTTAGCATTGTTAAGCAGCTCAGTTGGCCGCATCTTTTCTGATCCTTCCATTCGTATTCTTACGGCTGCTTTTGTTGCTGGAGGTGCAACGACTGAGGCGTGCGTTTGTCGGCCTCACATTCCTAGTGTCGACTGAGGAGCCGTCTTGCGCACTGGCTCCTCGGGACTCTTTGTTACTGCCTTTTCTAAGGCTAGCATTCGTTCTTCCATTGGGTTAGCCGTCAGCTTCGATCGTAGCATCTTGGCGTCGGCTATGAAGGCGTTAAGCGCCTCATCTATCTCGACCATCGGTGTCGCAGATCCGTCAGTCCCTGCAATCACCAGTCTGTCACTAACCTTATTTAGATAATAAGAATTTGTTTTTAATTTATCCAGTTTCATGCCTGTAGATGTCGTGAGAAATTATACAAGCATTATTGAGGCTATTCCGCTATCCGTTGGTGGTTTTGGTGGTGCCGTGAAAAATTTTCCAGCCGTGAAATCCACCATTCCAGTCCCCCAACTCGTCATGCCGAAGCGCAACGTAAAAATTTCGGGGGATCGGATAAGATGGGCCGATTAAGATGGTAGCAATAGTAAAAACGATGAAATAACGTTCGTGGAACGTGGTGCCGCTTTTGACCAAATGATGATGTTTTTCCATGTCTCTTTATTTTTATTTAATTTTTGCATCAGATTTTAATTGCGTATGCAGCTATCTAGCTATGACACAATATCAGAGAAAAGTACAGAAAAGATGGCTCAATTAACAAGAGGAGCACTAATACCTCGGATTTCATTTGCAAGTACCACTGCGAAGTTATGCTTGCTTTTTCTTCACCCCAAGTCAACCCTCATCCGTGAATATAGGCTACGTGTCGCTTACCCTTATATTTTTTTTAAATCATTTAAGTGTATCCAGCTATAGTGCTATATACACATGTAGGATGACTCTTTTGACGTTAGAGACACTCATACTCTGGATTTCATTTGAAAATAACATTATGAGGTATGTTTGCTTACACAAACAGTCGACTCTCCTCCGTATGTACCCACCAAAGGGACGTTTCAAAACCTTTGGTTATCCAAGCATGCCTTCGTCATCCATGCACACCAACGCCGTGAGAAAAGTGGTTTTGTTTTTCCGGATTTGAACCAGCGATCTACTGTCTCGAGTGGGATAAGTGTCCAAGATATCCAGACTTTACTTGGCAGACCGACCGAGACGATGTACCACCGCACCATCCAGCCATGGCGTTGTTTATAGTGTCGCCGCACTCTCGCAATCGAAGTCTCGACGCACAGAAAGCTCAATTCGTAAAACTCCCTGACAAAATTCGAAATTCTACGCCCGTCGAAACTGTATCCATCCTCTGCATCATCTTTCAAACCTGTCCTGATCCCTCTCGCGTCAATCTCGAAGAACCGTCCCCCAGATTTGTGCGCAACGCTTCGCTGCCTCCTTCGGGTGTAAATATCGGCGTGGGCGTGTATTTGGTGGTCGAAGCCAGAGAAAGTCATCAAGAGGTGTGGTCGTTGGAATGAAGATGTACTAGGTCGTACTTGTAGACTTGATGAGGCTTAGGTAGGAATCGGACTCTCTGGGAGTGAAGATTTGACGTGGTGGAGTAGTTTGAATCATTGCCTCGTGGGCCAGCTTGTTCGGTATTGCGACATTTGACTGAACTTGGCTTTGGGAGAATATCTCACTCCCAGGTTCGTAGAGGACACCGCGTACAGTTGTTCACTCTTGCCCTCCGAAGCCGTCACTTGGAATAGTGGAAAATGAGCCTTCAACAATCGCCATTTCCTCTCACTAAAACCTGAAAAGGGCCCAAGGCAGCCTTGCAAAGTAAATAGGAAGCGAACACGGGGAGTTAAATTCAAACATAGAAAATTACCACGAATCCATAGCTCAAGCTGTTAGATATGCTTGGCCTGTAGGTAGAGAGGAACTGCACGTCCTACATTGTCATGGACTCAGATAGGACAATAAAATAGAAAAAAAAGAATCAAGCTGTTCTTGTGGCGATTGATCATAGAATCCCGAGCCCATGCACATGACCATGCCCTGCTTCGATGGTCAGATGGCAAAGGAGAGACTTGGATACAAGCCAAGGGTCGGCCCTTCAAATCAATGTCAGATAATTATTTTGAAATCAAAAGAAATATGCCGTGGATCTTTGATCATAGTTGGATGGAGCAGTGACAGATGAAAAAGGCGGTCTAAATGGTGCTGAGGGAAAGAAACGGCTGGAACAGTTCTTGGGATAACTAAATAGATTGTGATAATCTTACACAGAAGGCACTGTAGTGTAACTACGCTTCATGAAGGACAAATCCAAAAACCAGACATCAATTGCAAAGGCAGGGGAGCTCCCACCGAGAGCTTTCTCTACGTGCAATTATTGAAGTGCGTGGGCCACCGAATTGGGAGAGTTAAAATAAATTGGGACTAAAATTTAAGTCTTGTATACGGAAGACTAGATTGATGGATATCGAAGTATTTTATCTCAGGCGCTTTCTGGCTGTGGCTACAGAAAATTTACATCGGGATGGCAAGGCTGAATATTCTCAGGAGGGTCTAACTTGTCACACTTTAAAGGGTGGGCGAAGCTTGTATAGTTGACGATTATCAGGCTGAGCCAGAACTATCCCACTTATAGTTAGATCCTTAAGATTGAAGGGGTACCTCTCCTCTTAAACGATTCTGACTTGGAAGAAGGAATATGTGATGGCGCCTAGGCCATGCCATTTCACAATTGTACAAGTCTCGCAAAGATCTTCACACCATGCGGAATGGGCACTTGAACTGACTATCAAGATTCAACAAAGAAGCGGCGATACAACGAGGGGTCGATTTCAAAGAAAATGAGGTTCGTATTTTTCTGAGTTAAAAATTTTTACTGCCAGGGCGTCTGGCTCAAGTAATTTCCAGGCGGAGAATAGCGCGCGACAATATAAGTCCATCCACTAGCTGAGCGGGCCATGCCCATGCCAACTTCACGCGTGCTGGGCCAGATAATCTGAGTGTAGTGACCATAAGATTCAAAGTCTCCGTCGGGGATATGCTCGCCGTGGTAGAGAGGCTTTTCCGAAACCCAAGAGATTACAGCATCACTGAACGAGACATCGCTCTGGCCTAGGCTACAATAGAGATTTTCACCTTGCCCACTTCCGGTTGAGTGCTGTAGGTGGTCGGTGGCGGCGAGATGCGCGGCCCATGTATGCGCTGCCCTCGCAAGTGATGGCGACCAGCGCAAGGGTGGACGCTTAGGGCCATTGGCCTCCGTGCGGGCTATCAAAATGTTAACTCTGGAAATACCTAGTGGTGCGAAGAGAAGCAAAAGGAAGAGACCGGGCACCTTTGTTATGCATCTCAACTGCACTTTCACGAGATAGACCATCAGCACCCCTCTGGATCACTTGAGAAGCTAGGCATGGGATATTGCCGACGAAAAGTATGTAAATCGGAATGCTCCAGCCAATAAGCATATTTGATTGAAAGAGTGATAATGATATATGTGCTCCTAGTTCGAGATATAAATGGGTAAAAAGGTTTATCGAAAACACAGAGCTGTCTATGGGTAGACGCCATATATAAGAAGAGTCTCGAGAAAATGGGGGCCATCCGCACGCAGTTGCTTTCGGAGGCTCTAAAATGTTCTCCATGTTGGATATTAATGACATCAGCACCGTTCAAGACTTCCATCACCGGATACTATTACAAAGCCCCACTGATACTGTGACAACTCCTCAAGGGAACACTTATCTGTATGTGTCACCCGTCACACTCAATACTAGTTGCAAGAACTTAAACAATACAGCCCAGGCTACACCAAATTTTTTGATAATGCTGGAACTAATTTTTCGAAAGAGGCGAACGTAAGCCATCCCGTTGGCATATGTATCTCCGCTCCCCTCACTAACCATGATACTACTTCTTATATAATATTCCCAGTTGCCACAACTTTAGCCTAAACTAGTAGGTCTATCCAAGTCGCGACTCTTTGGTAAGTCAGTGCCGAGTGGAGCACAAAAATAAGATGGCAGCTTACCGTCATGTCGCCTGCCTCTCTCCACTTTTTTCGCTATTCTCCTAATTAATGGGACAAATGGGTCTCTAATAGCCTTTTCCATCTACCAACTTCTAACTGTTACTTCGAGGGCCATAGTAAATTTAGAAAGGTCATTCTGCCCACCGAAAAATTAGTTTTTATGTGAATGAGTTAAACGACACTCAGAAATATAAGTACTGGCTTACACGGGTAATTTAGCGTCTCTCCGCGTACACTATCTATGTTCCACAGTCAAAATTTTACTGCTAGAGACATAGATCCGTGTAACGGCAAAATAAAAATGTTGATCATGGGTGCCTTATTAGATATGCCCAGAAAGCCGCCGCCATGGTAAGATTAAGCGGAGCTAGCAAGTATGCGTACGTGTGCACAAGAAGGGCCTACACAATGTCGAATTTCATGACCGCTCAAATTCTACTACATTATACATGGTTGAGCTCGGACCCGAATCCCTTGCTGTCAATCCGTCGGAGGAAGTAGGTCGGGCATTCGGCTCCTGCAAAATACTTGCCATATCATAGCCTTTGGGACTACCGGCTTCCGCATCTGCGCCTTCTAGCAGGTCTCTATCTTCATTCCTGACACCCCGACGTTGTGACTTGCTGTAGACTTCTGTCGACCGTAAGAGCCCGTCGTACCTTTCATCATCCTCATCATCCTCATCCTCATCCTCTTCTCCAACTTTCGAACCAGTGTAAGCACCATCTCCTATTTCCTGCTGTGCCTCATCCATACGCAAGCGCACTTCAGAAGCAACTCTCATGCCATCCGTAACTATATTGTCTAACACACCACGAAGACCTTTAACTGGTGGTATTTGGTTAGCCGGGTTAGGCCCACCTAGGCTTGCGCCAGAAGAGCTCCGACTGAAGCGAATGTTAGAAAAAGTAGTGAGGGGCGAGGATGAAATTGCTCCGCTAATACTGCTCAACTTGTCAGAGATACGGAATGAAGCGGGGAATGAGTATTCAAAAAATTGTTCTAGAAGTTCATCGGCTAGGACGACCATACGAAAAGTTGGAAGTGTTATGTGAAGTGGCTTGGCTGGATCGAGGGCTGCATTGGCAGCCACAGAGGCTTTCCGGTTGGTTGCTGCGCTGGAAGGCTTTTCAGACATGGGGAAGTTAGAGAGTGGAGAATCTGTGGGAGTCGTTACTCTAGATGAGGTATCAAGTCCTAGATCAAGCAAGTCTTCTTCTTTGTCACTGTCATTTGCAACTATAAAACTCTTTTCATCAATAAGACACTGCGTCTCTGAATTCTGTCCGATATTTTGAGGGTGATCGGGATCGGCGTACTCGAAACATCGCCTGATAAAGGCACTGACGCTACTTAAGAAACGCTCATTTATGTTTCCTTGAGTTTCTTGCTGAGTTGAGCTCTCTATTTCGCCAAAGTTCATATGAGGTCGAGCGGGTGTAAAAGATTCTCCTAAACCCCTACGTGATAAGAAGAGTAAAGCTTCCGATATACGTAGAATACCCTCTCTGTCGACTTTACCGTCGCCATCGTCATCGTAGAGCTCGAAAAAATAAGTGATACTACCCATGATATCGTTATTCCCTTTGATGTGTGCCAGTCCAGTCACGACATTTTGCAAAGTCAAGGCTGAATTTGCATTGACATCCCAGCGTTTAAAAATACGACTCATAAACTCATGATCAGCAGGTTCCGGGTTATTAAATCCCTGTGGGGATAGAAATTTATCTTTCCGCCTAGTATTGTTACCAAAGTAGTTTCTTTCAATCGACATATCTTTTGATGGAGGTGTCGGCGAGTCAGTTATAGCCCATTTTGTTATAACTGTAAGAAATTCTCGAAATCCATCGTAATCCATAAGCGTTGGACTTGGACCAAGCCCAACTCTTCCCTTTTCAATGTTATGAGTCATTCTTAGTCCATTGACAACTTCTGGCGTCATTGAAGTGCTAGCCTTTTTTTGCCTTTCTATCTCGCCCTGAATCATTTGGCTTCTCTGCTGACGCTCGTATAAAATTGCATAGAACTTATCGTATAGGGCACCCAGCTCATCAATACTTAGCTTCTTGCTATCCGGTCCGAGATTTCGTATTGAAGTTCGTTTAGCAAAGCTTTCAATGTTATTCAAGACTGAATCTTTGTGCTTTACTCTTTGTTCTGAAATCGTGCCTTGCGTAATTCCAGAGAATTCTTTGAAAGCAACAACCATCAGTTCTTGGAAGCGAGTTACGGCACGAAGTTTCTCATTATCTGATTTTGGATGAGCTGATTCGTCTAACCGGGAAAAATATAATTTTAAAACAGATATAAATGCTCCGTCGTCTGTTGCATCAAGTAGATCTTCTCCATTAATCCTCAGGATGGCTAGCCCTACTTGAAATAGGACCTTTGAGCCTTCTAAGAAAAAGACATCCAAAACACGAAACGCAAATACTAGAGGCATGGAGTTTATGTATAAAGACAGGAACCATGGGAGCGAGACAACCGAAAGTTGTACATCTGACTTGACTAGATGATCCCACAACACAGGCATTGTCTTTTCCACAAGCGACTCAAAAACCCGTTGGTCTAGTAGCGTTCCATACATTGTTTTGGAGTAATATCCGGGAAGGAGTCTATCGCAGAGGGTCGATAGTAAATAAAAAGCTTGGGTCTCAGACATGTATATGAGTAGTGCCGCAACTACAATGTTCATGGCTTGACAGTAGCCAACTTCCTCGTTAATCCAGCTGTAGGCCGTAAGTACCCTTCTTAAGCGCCCAATTCCTTCGTTGCTTTGAAACCCAGCATATTCTGGTAGACTTCTGTTTAAGTCTTTTTCAATCTCATCGATTGCTAGAGAATCTTGTCCCTGAAACTTATCTAAAGTATCATGGAACAGCGTTGGCTTTTCTAGTCTTAGATACAAAGATCCTGAAGTTAACTCCCATATTTCTCCTCGAAGTCGGTCTGGCAATCCAACACGGATCAGTTTATGGAACGTGGGCTGTCGGACAGATGTGAAATTCCGGCCATTTTCCCGCAAATATTCTCGCCACAGTCGCATTTTACTCCGGTCTCGTAGTTTCCTTGGGTCGCCTGGATACCGAAACGACATCCCGAGTCCTGCATCTGGGGGATCACCAGATTTCTTGCCGTCATTTTGAAGAAGATATTCTGAATAGCACTCTGATACAACTTGTTTCAACTTACTCACATCACTGACGCCTGACTTAAGGCCCTTTTTCAAACCATCACAAAATCGTTCACAAGCCTGACGAGTTCCCATGAGCTGGATGGTCATCTTCTGTTGGGTGATTGGCGTCTTTGAAGTATCATTTGCATTTGGTTTATTAATACCATTCCACGTAGTTATAGCTAGTGCAAACTGGAATTATTTAGCTATTTTCTGTATTCAAGAAGCTAGGCGGCTTACATGATAGTTCTGACTATGCAAACGCTCCACACGCCTGATAGCGCAAAGTGGCAGAGTAAACCCATTTCCACTGGGCCCAGCACCGTATGTCTGTCCAGTAAAGCTAGAGGAGTTGCTTGTACTTGCAGTCTGAAGGAAGCTAGTTGATTGTGTGGAAAAACAAAGATATCCCTCACTTAGGTGCAGCCTCCCAGAGTACCGATAACCCCTATTTCGATCTCGATCCTTTTCACCTTGTGTAGCGTTAGGTTTATATACAACTGGAGGAGAAATAGTGAGCTCCGCTGCAATCTCCTGGAGGGGCGTTTGAGAATCTGGGAGGCGGAATTGATGACGGAATAGGCTAGCCTTGGCAGGATTCCAGTCACAAGGTGAGATATTAAGCGCTTGAGTTGGATCAATGAAAGATTGAGCCTTTTGAACAAGGCTGGAAAGTTTGAACATGGCTCATTGTCTCTGCTGAGTTAAAACTGGTGGATGAATTGAGCTATGCCATGGTGACATGTTGTATGTTAACTATGCACGGACCATCCGTAGCTGGCTTAGGATGTCGAAGCCCGAATGATTTGCCCGTGCCAAGGACTGCCGCCCAGCCGTTGAAAAGTTCCGGCAATGCATATGTGTCAACTAAGGAAAAAGTGGCGCCGAATATATCCTTGTAGCTATCACCGCCAGTAGTTTTGCAGTTGCGGGGAAGAACAGCACCTGCCTGTAGTGCTACGTATCGCTTTGAAGCTAAAAGCTTTCGTTGACGGACAGAGTAAAGGGTCTATGGCATGGATCACATAGCACTCATTTGGCTGCCATTTACTGTCTTCGCTTCCCAACAACTACTAATTTTCATGCTATCCTTATCCATCAAAATTATCATGTTTGTGCAATCTCCTCTCATATATGTGTTAAAGCTGCCTTGTCTCCATTTTCTTCAGCTGTTGCATCTGGATTGAGGTAAAGTCCCAGTAACTTGTGAGAAAATTTATTATAAGTAATGTTTAGCACTCTCACGTAAATTTATTAGATGAGCTAGGAGTCTGATGGATTTGAGCCTATAAATCTTTCTATTACTTAAAGAATCATGTGGTGGTTAATAATATCACTCTTTAGATCACTGAGAACTAGACTTTGAGGGCGCCTCAATTAGTTTAAGTTTCAAAATAAACCATAAGGTTTATTGTCTAGATGTCTTTTTAAGAAATATTAACTAAAATGATCTGGGAATAGAGAATTTCGAATGGAAAGCTGTCGAGTCGCGTGGCACATGCGCAGCCCTTTTTATTATTTTTTGATATATATTTGTTCGTATTAGGTCCTGGTCAACGATTTCTAGATGTGACATTAAACCAGAGGTAGAAACAAAGTGAATGATTCGATTTAATGTCAGAGCAATCATGCTTCGAATTTCATATTTAAGTGCCACTACGAAGTTAAGGTGGCTTTTTTTAACCTCAAGTCAGCCCTTATCCACAAATATTTAACCAGGAAAAATTCTCAAGAATTCTAGATTACTCAGACATGCCTCCATTTGATGTGTACATAGATATATATCTATGACACGATCAGTTTCATGTGTACAAGTCGGATGAATCTAGTGACTTTAGAAACACTCATACTCTGTATCTAATTCGCAAATATCACTGCGGTATGCTTGCTTATAGAAGCAGTCAACCCTCTCTCTGTAAGTACCCACCAAAGTCAAGTTTCACAATATTTGATTATCAAGGCTTGCAAGCTTCGTACATGCATACAAGCACCGCGAGAAATTTGTTTGTGTTTTGCCGGATCCAAGCTAGCGATATCTTTTCTCAAGTGGAATATGTCCAAACTATTCAGAAAGTAGCTGGGAGCAGGCCCAGATGATTTACCATAGCACCATCCGAGCATGGCGGTGTTTAGAGTGTTGCTTGCACTTTCAAAATTGAAGGCATGGCGCGCGCACAGCTCATCAAGTAGTAAAACTTATTTCCACGAATCGAAACAGCACCACTCTCGATATTGCATTCACGGCTTCCATGACTTTTTCTACTTGTCTTGATCTCTCTCATGTATATCTCCAAAATCTGCCTCACAGGTTTTTGCACCTAGATTATTGCCCTCCTGTGGGTATTCATATTCTTATGGGGGTGTATGTGGAGGCCATTTAAGGCTAGAACATGTGTTGAGAGGTGTGGTCATTGAAGGAAGGGTATATGAGGCCGTATTTGCATAATTCATGAGGCTTTTGTCAGAATCGACCTTGTTGGTAATGTGATATTGATTTGGTAGGGAGTATTGAATCATTGTCTCGTGGGCCAACTTCGGTATTGCGATGTTTGACTGGAATTGACTATGAGGAGGTGTTTCAATACTAGATTCGTGGGACACTACGAACAGGTGTTGAACAATTGTTCTCCGACTTAACTTCTTGTGAGTAGTCACAGAAACTAAAGAATTCATCGTCTTCAGTGTCACCCGTGTCAGTAAGGAACCACTTATCCTGGTGGAGTGAAAACAACATGGGTTGCAGGCCTGATCGTCACATTAATTGGCATGGCTGTATTCAGGTTCACCAACAACCGTGGCGCAACTCCATAAAAAGTTAGCTATCGATCCATATTTTAGATTCTTATTTTCAGACTCAAAGCGTCCAAACGAAACGGAATTCTAAAAATCTCAATCTTAAAGAGCCAATTGTTGCTTCATTACACGACAAAAGACAATTATTTCAATCCATTGAACTTCTCTAAAGACGCTTTTTCAAGCCTAACAAGATCCTTAACGCCAATGCGAATCGGCCATATTTGTATTATACACACCTCAAAGCTCTGGTATTGCTAGTCCGAAATGAAATCTTCTATCAATCTCTACGTACTGTCATTCAACTGCGGCAAACATTTTTTGGATACAAACGCGTTCTCATCTCAGATATTCTCCTCTCTTGTGTCTCCTGAACTTCCAGACCTTCTTGTTCTATCTCTTCAGGAATTAGCTCCCTTACCGCATTCCTTCATAGGAGGGTCGTTTCTTGCACCATATCTTACTCGATTTTACGATGCAGTTCATCTAGCTGCTGAAAGGTTTCCCGGCAGCAATGCGGAAACTTTTACTCCCGTTGCATCGCACAATCTAGGCCCGACAAGTATAATAATTTTTGCAAAAGATCCTTCTACAATTGTAGACATAGAGAGTGCAGAGATTGGAGTTGGATTTTGGGGGTTAGGGAACAAAGGCGCTGTGGGGCTGCGCTTAAGATATCATGATACCATGTTCACATTTATCGCAGCCCACCTAACTGCTATGGAGTGGAAACTACAGAAACGGAACGAGGATTGGAAAAAGATTGTACAAGGGCTTGTCTTCCACGATGATGTACGAAAGGGAATAGGAGAAAAAACTCCTCTGCTCTCTAAAAAACTTCACGGTGCTTCTATCTACAAAGCAAATTCGCATCTCTTCGTTGCAGGAGACCTTAATTACCGTACATCCATAAATCCACCGACTAAAAACGATTATAGTGATACATTCCCACAACCACACTTTTTGATCAACAATACTCGTCATTACATGAATCTGTTAAAATCAGATCAATTAAATCAAGCGCGTTTATCAGGAAAAACATGTCATGGACTGACAGAAGCTGAAATTAAATTTCCACCAACGTACAAATATGATCCCAAGAAACAGACTCTACTTTCAGACAAAAAAAATCCTGATTTTTGGTACTGGGCAGCACATAGATGGCCGTCTTGGTGTGATCGTATCTTGTATTTAGACCTGCCGTCCTGGCTAGGAAATATACATGCAGAAGCCAGCATGAAAGTACTGAATTATTACACTCTTCCAGTCACAGAAACTTCCGATCATCAGCCCGTCGTCTTAGAGATACAAGTTCCGCTAATAGCAATACCTGAGCCAAATTATGAAATGGAGTCCTCTGATCCAAGAATTCGTCCTCCATATGAGATCGATCCTAGCTGGAGGGGTCGACGCATAAGAGCGGAAATTTTAGAAACATCTATTGGCTGGGCTCTGTGGCTTCTAACAACTTCGGAAGGAGGATGGTTAGTTTTTGTTGTAACCGTCGGCCTAGGATTGGCCTCTTTATCCCTCAAGTCGGCCACGTTTTCACGGGGCAGATGAGTATTTCCATATTTTACCAGCATGAATGATGATTAATGAACACTGTATGAGCTTGTTTTTATGGTAAATTGAGATGGTTTATCATCATTTAATGTGTGAAGAGTAAAGATTACTGCTTGCGTATCTGATAAATTTAGTTTTCGAGTTGCAAATAATTAATTGGGTCATCATAGATAATAGCAGACAAAAGTAGCCAAGATCTCTACTTCTGCCTTCCCACCATGATTAGTTATTATTAGATAGCTATGGTAATTAAAGATTATTTGCCTAGATATAGTCACTTTCATGCATATTCTGAATATTTATTATGCTCAACACCACGTCTGTCAAAAATTTCTATCAAGCTTAGTTGAATAATACTACTGTGCTCATAACCCGAGAAATAATTGTCGAAAACTTATTCAAAGGGGAAGCATTCAATATTTAAGAGCGACTGTCTAATTGTACTGTCTAAAATTTGGCGAAATATTTTTGTACACTGAAATCAATAAAAGAGATTAGAAAAGCGAAGGCTGAACAACTGTCACTGGTGTCATTCACACACCTGACTGCCTGTATTCTCTCAGAGCTGAGATTCGGAAACAGTAAGAAGTTTGTCTGAGAGTTTCCTCGAGATGGCGATCGTTAGAAGTTGTTGTAATTGTGCATCACGTGCAAGTGTCTTAGCGTGCAGGCGTTCTTTCATTACTGCGTCCAGTCCCGTTGTAATATAGTCAATCATAACTCCTTGTAATTCACGACATTAGATACGTTCCTCTTCCTCAATATCCATCTCTTTATTATAGAAGTGGTTTTGGCAATTTTAAGTCGAGAATACGATCTATAAAGATTTCATGACTGCACAACCCGATAATATTAGATATTTACATCCAAAATACGAACCACTGATATGATTAAACCTGTCTGATTTTTGCATCTTAAATAACTGACAGCCTTCACTGTCCTCAGGTTTCCTGGATAATTTTCTCCGGCAATATCAATCTTGCAACCCACCAAATCCACCTAAAATACAAAACTAGTGATCAAAACCAATGATATAAGGGAATTTCCAACCATACACAACCACTATCCCCTATTAAGTTACATTAAAAGTATCAATCTTAATTGTCTTCGGATTTCGGCTAAGGGCACTGCTAACACTTCCCACGACAAATTGCCACTGACGAAATATTATGACACGCTGATTATGGCAAGCAAGAACTCAAGGTTTAAAAGCTAATAAAGCTAAAGAGCAAAGCTCTGTCTACAAATTATATATATAATTAGATTTAAACGAGTAGTAATGAACATGTCATCAGTGCTTCCATAACGCCAAACCTCCGTGGGTATCCTAATTCAGCGCCAGATCTCTATACTAGATTCCTAGTCGCTTAACACGAAATATTTGTAATATTTTGGCGGCATATCAGCCAGAGTATAAGATAAAGACTGAAGCACCAATACTTCGGCTGATAACTCTTCCTCGTGTATTTGTCCCCAATAATTAAAGGTATAGTAGTGAAGAGGCACGGTTGGAGGTGTGGAAAGTTTACTGTTTCTAAGATTACGGGAATGGTAGAAAGGTTAAGGAAAAACTTCAATGTAAGAAAAAAGGGAAACAAAACTAAGGAGAGCTTGGTGGGTAACTGGACGAGGCATCCAATGAAGAAAACTGACCCAGAGTGGAACGAGGCATGACTGGGACTGAACGGAAATAAAAGTAAAAATTAGGATTAGGAAGGTGTCAAAGGCTCGGGTTTTCTGGACGGTTCATTTTTTGCATTAGATATTTATTGCATATTCAGCTATCCAGCTATGACACAATATCGAAGGAAAATTACAGAAAAGATGACTCTTTATATAAAAAGAGCACTCATGCCTCGGATTTCATATGCAAGTACCGCTGCGAAAAAACATCACAATTTGGTCAAAAGCGGCACCACGGTCCACAAACGTCATTTTATCGTTTTAATTATTGTCACCATCTGAATCAGTCCTTATCTGATTCTCCGAACTTTTCACGTTGCGCTTCGGCATGGCGAGTTGGAGAGCCAGAAAGATGGATTCCACGTCAGGAAAAATTTTCACGGCGCCACAACCACTACCAACGGACAGTGGAACCGCCGCAATTTTGGCTGTAGAGTCCCCCGCGACCTTTACAGGCGTCAACATGGATGCATTAGAGACAATAGAGCTTTATCTGAATAAGCTCAGAGATAGACTGATTATAGTAGGAACTGACAAATTCACGACACCGATGGTCGAAATAGGTGAGTCACTTGACTCCTTCACAGCCCATGCTACGATGTTACAATCGAAGCTGAAGGCTTCACTAATAGAATAACAGATGATGGCCTTAGAGAAGGTAGTTACGAAGAATCTCGAGGAGTCGTCGCGCAAGACGGCTTCTTCGGCAATACAAGGAATAGGAGGGCGGCTGAAATACGCCTCAATCTTCTCCCCGCCTGCCACCAAAGCAGCAGTATGGATAAGAATAAAAAGAGCAGAAAACATGCAGCCGGCAGAGCTGCTTGACAAGGCAAAAAAACATATCGAGAGGGAATAGGCTGTAAGGAAACTGCGGAGCAACGATACGGAAGTGTTTGTGCAATCGATCTCCTAAAGGGACACTGCCTTGAGTATAGCGTAGCCAAAGGGACTCTACATCCTAAAGAAAGATTATCCAGTTAAAATTTTGTGGATCCTCTTAGGGATACACATACTAGGAGTAAAAATTTCAGATATTGGTACACTGATAAATCAAATCGTGGCAGAAACAAAGGTTCGGATTCTCGAATTGAGAATCAACAGGATGAGATGGCTCTTCGACGAAAAGGACCACCGATGCATGGGAAGAAACGGCTAGACACGAGGGCCAATCGTCACTAGCTTGCCGATAGAGACACTTCAACGCGAAGTGATAAGAAATGGCATTGGAAACAACTCAATGCTATATACGGCCCAGCTCCGGTTAACCCGAGCACAAATTAAGCAGTGCTTCAACTGCTGCCAATGAGGACATACCCAAACCACTTGCAGAAGGTAAGGAGATGTGGTGAATGCGCGGGTATTCACCAGACCAGGGAATGCCCGATGAAGCCGGTGCCGTGTTGTAACTGCGGCAAGGACCAAGGATCGTGGCAGAAGGGGGCGTTTCAAAACTTCACGGCATACAAGGTCAGCGTTCAGCGGGCACGGTGTTATCTGATGAAAAGTACGGCAGGATTTATGAAAGGACAATTTTTACCCGCGCCATCTAGACCAACAACGGTAAGAGCAAAAGACGACCAAGGATTTACACTGGTATCCCACCAAAAGCCTGAGGTACTCAAGAGAGGGCCAGGACGCCCGCGCAAACAGCTTCAGGTCAACCCCCCACCACAAGTATTTGGACCATCGGGGTCAAGTTCAAGACCACAATCGTCTCTTTTCAGCACGCGAGGACGGGGAAAAGATGGCGATGCACAATAGAATGTTAGCTAGCTCAGTCTCGTACTCAAGGCCAATTGCACTTCCTATAGGTAACGAAAGACTACAGAATATGGAAAAATCTAATACGGGAGGGGGTTTTATCGTAATGGTTTCCCCCTCATGTCAATATATAGATAGGTTCATAGCCGCCTACATGGGCTTACAGGACGCTAAATTGGCTCAAATGAATTCAAAGTACCACTGCGAAGTTATGGCGGCTTTTTCTTCGCCCCAAGTCAACCCTCATCCGTGAATACCCACCCAGGGGAACGTCTCAAAAACCCTGAGTTATCCAGACATGCCTCCATCATCTTTTAACTTTTTTTCGCGCGAAATATGATCTGAGATGTCTCCTTACCAAGTAGAGTAGGTGCCCAGGCTACTCAGACTATACCGGAGAACACCACCAGGAGGCTAACCACGGCATCTTCCATCGTTGGTGCTTTTATAGTGCCAGCGGCACTCTCGCAAGCGAAGTCTTGTCGTGCATAAAGCTCAATTTTTGAAAACTCCTTGGCAAATTTCAGAATTTCACGCCCACCGACATTATATCCTTCCTTTGCATCATCTTGCGAACTTGTCCTGATCCCTCTCACGTCCATCCCAAAGAGCTATCTGCCAGATTTGTGCTCAACGCTTTGCTTCCTCTGTCGGGTATAAATATTGGCGTGGGCTTGTATTTAGTGACCAGCTGAGGCCAGAGAAAGTCAACGAGAGGTGTAGTCATTGGAATAAGGATGTACTTGGTCGTACTTGTAGACTTGATGAGACTTAGGTAGGCGTCAAACTCGTTGGGAGCGAAAAAACGACGTAGTGGAGTAATTTAGATTCTTGCCTCGTGGGCCAACTTCTTTGATATTGCGAAATCTGACTGAACTTGGCTCTGGGAAAATATTTCACTCCCAAGTTCTTAGAGGACACCGCGTATAGGTGTTCAGTCTTGCCCTCTAGAAAAATTGGTACTGTGTGAGTCTACTGGGTAAGAACAATACTTGGACATTAAAAATTAAGTGAATCGAAATGAGTATGTGATAGTGTATATTAACGCACAAGGCAATTGGCACCCTCCGCTCGATCGTGGAAGCCCGAGCACGAACGGGGCTGGGCTGGATCAGGTTGAATACCATGAAGTACGTAAACCTTGTCCCACCTGAATAACTGGACCGTCACAAACTTCATCAATGTGTCGAATGAGTCAAGTCAACCCAATAAGAGGGAGGGCAAGACTGAACACCTATACGCGGTGTCCTCTAAGAACTTGGGAGTGAAATATTTTCCCAGAGCCAAGTTCAGTCAGATTTCGCAATATCAAAGAAGTTGGCCCACGAGGCAAGAATCTAAATTACTCCACTACGTCGTTTTTTCGCTCCCAACGAGTTTGACGCCTACCTAAGTCTCATCAAGTCTACAAGTACGACCAAGTACATCCTTATTCCAATGACTACACCTCTCGTTGACTTTCTCTGGCCTCAGCTGGTCACTAAATACAAGCCCACGCCAATATTTATACCCGACAGAGGAAGCAAAGCGTTGAGCACAAATCTGGCAGATAGCTCTTTGGGATGGACGTGAGAGGGATCAGGACAAGTTCGCAAGATGATGCAAAGGAAGGATATAATGTCGGTGGGCGTGAAATTCTGAAATTTGCCAAGGAGTTTTCAAAAATTGAGCTTTATGCACGACAAGACTTCGCTTGCGAGAGTGCCGCTGGCACTATAAAAGCACCAACGATGGAAGATGCCGTGGTTAGCCTCCTGGTGGTGTTCTCCGGTATAGTTTGAGTAGCCTGGGCACCTACTCTACTTGGTAAGGAGACATCTCAGATCATATTTCGCGCGGAGAAAAGTTAAAAGATGATGGAGGCATGTCTGGATAACTCAGGGTTTTTGAGACGTTCCCCTGGGTGGGTATTCTTTTTTTTTTTTAATTCATAATGTATTCAGCTATCTAGCTATGACACATCTGATTATTTTATATATAAATACAAATATTTAGTCCCAATTTCCTTTAATCATCTTCTAGTCTCCTCCCTTTCAGTCAGCTTTGGATGCATTCATGCATCCACTGCTTTGAAGGAAGTGGAGAGTTGCTTCTTTTCCAATTTTTGTATTAAATAATATCTCTAATCTCAATGGCAGTATACCTTTAAAAGCTTCCTTTCTTTCTGTCTTAAACTTATTACAATAAAGAAGTAGGTGTTGAACAGTCTGTTTTCCCTTCCAACAAAAGTTGCAAGAGTTATCCTTCACTTTTTTAATTCGAAATAAATGGGCCCTGGTATTTCCAATCCCTGTTCTTGCTTGTATAAATGAAGATTGTGTCATTCTACTGTAATGACTGAAGTTGTATGGTCTCATTTGGATGATAGGTGATCTTTTCCTGTCTTGCACTTGATAAAGCCTTCCCAGTCCTTTAGCCTTTCTACCCTCTTCCTGTCTCAAGACTTGGGTCTCCCAGTCATTTTGCCAGGCTTTGAGAGTCAGTTCCTTTGCCTTCTGCTTAAGGTAAGCAATTGTTGTGAATTTATCTCTTTTTTTACTTTTTTCTTGGCTCCACCTCTTGCCAGATTGTCTGCTAACTCATTCCCAGCAATACCTTCATGGCCTGGACACCGGTGTAGATGAATTTGATATTTATTGCTTTTTATTCTTATTTGATGTGAAATAAAGTTGCTAGATTTGCTGACCCTCTGAATTGCTGCTTGACTATCGGAGAAGACCCAGATCTCTCTGGAATGTTTATTGGAGACAACATATTTTATAGCTTTCAAGATACAATATGTCTCAGTATCTGAGATTGTCATTGTGTGTCCGAGATTAAAAGAGAAACATTTCACCTGTCTTGTGAATGGCAAGTATACCACAAATCCAAGGCTACTTCCATTGCTAGTTGTTAGGGAACCATCTGTGTATACAATTGATGCATGATTTGGGATGTCTTTTAGCAGAAGAATATGCTCATCCCTTGCTGCATGCTTAGAAGAATCACTTATTTTATTATCCACATTATTTGCTAGCCATGGTGGTGCCCATTCTGCATTGATATTTTCCAATCTATTGCAATCTGAGATCCCTTTGAGCAGAAATCCAATGTTCATGAGTTGGGTATTATTTTCTTGTAGGTCATCAATCATGTCAAGGCTGATGGCAGTACCTATGGACAACTCATCTTGAACTGAGCTAAGTAGCTGCATTTGTATTGGATTCAAGGGCTGCATCTTTAGTATCCTGAGGGCATAGTTATAGGGTGGGTATTCACGAATGAGGGTTGACTTGGGGTGAAGAAAAAGCCACCATAACTTCGCAGTGGTACTCGAAAACGAAATCTGAGGCATGAGTGCTCTTCTTCCAAATTGAGTCCCCTATTATACACCTCTCTGATATAGTGTCATAGCTAGATAGCTGCATACGCAATTAAAATCTGATGCAAAAAAAAGTACCAATTGTTCTATATTTTACCAATACAATTTGGTCGCGATAGTATGAACCTCTCCATATGTTCTCAACGTGTGCCTAAAAAAAGGCATGCCCCATTTCCCCTGTCAACTCCACGTTATAGAGTTATCAGTAGGTAGTGGGATGATATCGTAGATGAGATATAACTTTAACCAAAATTGGGGGAAGCCAATCGTAGAAAGTCAAAGAGCGGGTGACATTTTTGTTGCTGAGATATAGTTTCGAGATGGACCTAAGTCTAATGACAAATCTGCTATTAATAGTGATGATTTGTTATTTGGTTTTAATGCACTAATGTGATCTTGGAGATTCAATCTTGGAATAAGATAAAGGCCGACGTTCCTTTCAGCCAAGTCCTTCGTAGTCAAAGAATCCATAGGGACTGTAATTCTATTCTATGCCTTTCGGCCAACTTTTCATCACTTTAAACTTATCCTACCTTGTTTCGAGACATACTACAGACTTGAGAATTTGTTTGCGTTCATATTTACGAAAGAAAATGATAGAGTGGGTAGAACCTCCACCCGAAAATATAAGAAGATGTGCTGCTAAGAACCTTAGGAATAGTTAGATTAAAAGATAAAGAGGTAGTATTTAATTGCTTTGTTGCATTAGGTTATTATAATTGTTTCGTCAATCTAGGCCCATCAAGGAAGGATTTTGTTATTTTCTTTTTTCTCTTTTCTATTTTGTTTTGGTAGAATACCTGTAGTTTAGGGTTTAGACCGAGAGGTGTATATGATAGAGACGCATTTGTAACTGCACTTACTACCTTGATCTAAAATTAGAGAGAATTTACTGTCCCCAGGTCTAGCAAGCTTAAATATATAACTTGCATGATTTTGCAGTCTACAACTCTGTTGTATGGACTACTTAACTATTGACGTGTTTGTGCGGTGGACACTGCGTTCATGTGCTAGGATATGGTCGATATCAAAGCACAAAGATGAAGGGATCTGAATACGTTATGTTAACGTAGGCCTGCTATCTCCTTCGACTAACAAAAAAGCGTATGAAACAAAATCTTGACAAAGACGGCAGCTCCCAGCAGCCCTATAATGAGCTCTCAGAAATCTAATACAAACTCAGATAATGAAAAAAGTACATGGGACTTTGCGCCTCCCCACCTCATGTCTATGCTGACTTCGGCGCGGTCCGTAACTCAAGAACTTGCTCGGGAAAATTTTCGAGGCAAACAAATAAGAGAACTGCGAACAACTACCCCTCACGTACCTCGCGACGGTAATTACACGATGGCTCATCTTACTGTTCTACAGCGCTTCTCACTTTAGCGACCGCTCCCGCTACCTGAGGGCCCTCATAAAAGCGCCTGGCATTACCAAACTCGTGATCGAATTTAACTACAACCTATTACCAACTACCGCAGTAAAATTCGTATCCACCAAGGCTTGTGGAATGTAGCTCTCGTCATGCCTGAACCATTTATATATATCAACGGATGGCCTGGTTCAGGGAAGCATACGACAGCGAAAGCATTAGAGCGGCATCTCGGGGAAAAAGCTCGTGTGGTATGATCTTATTCTGTGCGCGCATCTGGAAAAGTACCTCAATTAATCACATATCAGGTTCACAATCACCTACACATAGATCTTGCCGGTGCTATTCTTCCGCGAACTAGCCCTGAATACTATCCTCTCCGTCAGCAGCTTCGCGAGGTATTTTTCCAGACACTTGCGGCGGCTTCCGAAACATTTGATTATATGTGAGAAATACCTATGATACAAGTTATCACAGGCCTTCTCTAACGCCTTCCAGATACATTTTCACTGATTCCCAGACTGATGATCCAGTGGGGCGCAGTGTCACTTCGCACTACGCGCAGGCTGCTTCGGATCGTGGATGCGCATTTATCCCTGTTGTCCTCATTTGCGACGAAGAAGAGAACTTGAGGAGATTACGGTCTCAAGAGAGGCTGAACTTGGCTAAGGGTGGGAAGGGTTTGCTGCTCGATACAGATTTACTGAAGGGCTTTAGGGGGCAGGGAAAGATATTGAAGTGGCCATGTAAAGAATCGTTGGTGATTGATGTTACGCATATCGGAGTGGAAGAGGTAGTTCACAAGATACTCGACCACTTACAGCTGATCAGACAACAGCGAGAGTAAAACTAAGGTCTACAGTATAAGCGTATTTGCCGGGCAGCAGCAATAATCGCTCATGGTCATAGCAATCTATAGAACTAAAATCTCTTCCGAGCACACGTTACATGGGTTCATTTCTCTCCAGCTTAGATATTTTCAAATAGATGCGAGATATATCTAATCACCGATTAGCTTAAAACTGGAGATCTGCGCATTCTCAGTTCAATAAAAAAGCTCACCGTAGTCATATACAGATTTTTTTTATGTCATAATCAACAATCAATTAGCCTCTCATGCATTTGATGTATTTGATTTACAGAGTTTTGCTCCATGCCTTTTTATTATAAATTGCGTGTAAGATACCTTTCTAGGTTACTTATTCACAATTGTTGGACGTGAAAATCAGTGAAGTTCGCCACGATCCTCAGCGGTATTTTCTAATCAACCAGTATACTTCAAACTAATTAGAAGCGTAACACTAGCAGGCTTGGGCTGGTTAGTCTTGACTAACGCATGCAGCATTGTTGACCTAGACCCCCCACATAACCAGAAAAGTCATAAATCACTCCAAATTTGTCTTTGGTAACATTTAATGGTCTAGGAACCCTTGTGTCTACCCTTTGTATTGTAATATTCTTCCCAAACCCATAGGGGGACTATTCTCAACACCTGTCAGTGGTGTCCCCTACGAACCTCTAGCTCTCACTGTAGAGTCTGCAGAGCCGAGATTGAGTAACAAAGTCCTCACTTCGATGAGGATTCCCAATCGCTTTCGCGGTCTGTATCGTCTTCATCTCTCAAAGTATTCCCCTAACACCATTATCATGAATCTAACCACGATCAGATCAGATGGTGGGGTTGAAGCCCTTCTCGTCACCAACTCTTGATCATGGAGGAAATTCCATCCGATGAGTTTCCGGAACGTACCCAGCACCCGATACGGAGGTGGTGGATTGCGTCAAGTCGGCCTCGAATGTTATAAAGACGGGAGGTATAAATAAATATGCGCACCTCATGTGGTCCCAGTGTCTAGGCCTCGCCTGGCTGGGGCTGCAGGTTTTTTGAGACTTTTTCCGGCGCACGCAGTTTCCATTGCTACCTTTTTTTTTTTTTTTTTTTTTTTTTTTTGGGGTAGAAGGTTCCGTGGAAAAGGTGGCCGAATTCCACGGGTAAACACTGAGCTAAATGGCTATTTATCACGGGCAATATATCAATGGTCTTTCAAGAAACATGAGAGGCAAGGAGTACTGTACAAAGTTTGACCTGGAACAGAAAGGAGCCCAGTTGCTTTATAGTCTAAGATTCAAGTAGTACAATAATTATTACAGTTTGAAGTAAATCTGTAGAACTGGCGTAATCACGTGTAATTATGGTGTTAATTATGTAATCATATAGATACAGCATCGACATCTCCTTAAATAGAAAGATAGACATCATTCACATCTACTTGTGGCTTCTGGTTGATCAGTTATTGATCACAATGATTTCACGCAGGTGTCTCGTGGCTCCGACTTATCAACAATATAATTTGAGAAGAGCTTGAGACTAATAAGTCGTGGATTGATTTCTATACTACAGGATCGCCAATTTATTTAAATATTCCCCCGCTCCACGTGAGCCAATCAACAGCGCACAATGTGCACGGTCGGGTTTCCATCAATTGGGATCCACAAACAGACATCAGAGCCCCTTTGGTTGGATCCAATCGTTACCTGTAATACCAACAATTACCTCTCTTTACTAAGCAAATATGTGTAAATTCTCATGAGTGGATCCCATCCCTCCCGGGAAAGTCAAGGATTTGTGCGTTCACGTGTATGGGTTACGAATGTCTTACTGTAGACTATGAACTCAAAGCACGCCTATAATCTTGGATCGCAGAATGCCTGTGGAGTTCGTTAAGTCTAGTATAAGTTCGTTGTTCATTCAATGCTAACAAGAAACTCACTAAGACTACAAACACGCTAACATATGATTACATAATATATACCACACTAATGTTATCATCCCTTTGTCCCGTGACCTGGACACACAGCTTATAGGATCCCAAGCCACTCTGATATATTGGGTAACGTTTTGGCCGGCGCCTCTGCCCGGGAGGGGCTTTCAAAACCCCGCCTATACCCCGTGGGTACGTTTCTTTTAATACCGCAAAAAATCGCATCAAGGCAGAAGTATCGACGGCTATGAAAGACTACTGGGACCGACATGCCCCAGTATCATATAGGGAGCTTGCCATTGACTCATACTCTCGTAACCCTAAGGAACTCTCACTAGCCAGACCATTTCTCTCTAGATTATACGCTGCCCGCTCAGGACATGGTGACTTTGCAGAGTACCACCGCCGTTTCAATCACGAGGGTGCTAGCCTTCATTGTGGCTGCGGACAGCTTAAAGTCCCATTGCACTTCCTAGAGTGCCACCTAACCACTCATAGACCTCCTCGAGCTCCAGCATCTTTAAGGGACCCAAAGAAATTTTTGCTAGGAACCTGGAAAGGGGCCCTACGTGTAGCAAAGTGGCTTTCTATTCCAGAGTTTTACATAAAGACCTGCCCTAGAAGCCCCAGAGAAGAAATAAATAGGTCTTCAACTCTGCCCCAACTCTGAGCCTTGCATTATGGATGGATGGTGCAGTATTTATGAATGGATCTAGTAGTAGTATCTCGAGAGTGGTTGTTATACATCAAATGAGTAAAGAGCCTCGGGGACTGGCTGAAAAAGTGCAGGTGCTATGCTACACGCAATCATGTAATTAGAAAATTGCCCTGCAGACCTAGTTAGGAAGCCGCCAGGGCAGTAAGCACTGGCGTCCATGCCTCTAGGTAGTTTAGTGGGTAGTAGGTACCTAAGTCAAGCTTGGCGCCCCGACGGACGAAAAAACAAATAAAAAAAATATCAATTGATTTAGTTTACCTTCAGGAAGTGCAATGTACACTGTCCACCCAGTGTGCATTCCGTCCTTTCCCATTCTAGATCCATCTCTTTTTTCCGACATTGCTACCTCGACTTCCCCTACAAGTCGAAACTGTTTTATCCACCCTTTACTTAGTATCCACTGTGTGATTCTAGCCACATCTTCTGAGCTGTTCATCATTGCTTCAAATGACCTGACTTTAGCTTGTCAGAGAAAGACACCTCTTCCGTTTGCCCACTGCGGACACGCCAACACCATATGCTTGACGTTTTGCGACGGAAATCCACATTGACAGCTTGGCTTTTCTACTCCGGGTACTTTTCTTCTGCTCAGGTAAGAATTGAGTCCGATATGCTCGCTGCTTAGCTGAATGGCGACACTGCTTTGGGCCCTAGTTAGGTTACGGTGGATTTTTAAGGGTGTATCTTTGAAGTTCATTTTGACGCTGCCTGTTTGTTCATCAGTAAATATATTTGCCGCTTTCCAATAATCTGGATCGGCTGATGCTGGTCGGCCAGGGCGCTGCTTCCTGATCTGGCTTGTCCATGAATCCTTCCACTCCTGAAAGGCCGCTATCTTTCCAGCTTCTTTCAGCCTCCCCGAGTCCTTTTCCCTTCCGCAAGTTCTTGTCCATTCGGCGATATCTTTACTCTTGTTAAATGCATGCCGAGTTTCTCTCCCGTTTGCGGGCAGCTTTATCCTTTCACTTAGATGTACTAATTAGTTTAAATAGCGCTCTTGTCAGGCGCAGGTTCACTAGGCGCAAGACTAAAGGCGTAGGAGAGGGCGTAGCGTACGATGTACTGAGGAAGGACGCCTCGTGGGAACGCGGAGGGCTTTCTAGAGAAGTGGTAAATGGGAAAGCGGAGAGTCGTTGTAGATAGAGGGGCCGGAGGTGACGGTAGGTCACTATGGTTGGCAGAGGACGAGAGTGAGATGTGATTAGAATAATGTAACTATTCCTAAAGACAGAAAACAAAGCGTGAAGATCTCAGTATCCGAAGTGAAAACTACATAACTATCCTCGCTAGGCAATAAGCCTAATGGTGGGGGGACTATTCTCAACACCTGTCAGTGGTGTCCCCTTCGAACCTGGGAGTGAAATATTCTCCCAGAGCCAAGTTCAGTCAAATGTCGCAATACCGAACAAGTTGGCCCACCATGCAATGATTCAAACTACTCCACCACGGAAAATCTTCACTCCCGACAAGATCGACTTCTACCTAAGCCTCATCAAGTTTACAAGTACGAACAATTACATCCTCATACCAATGACCACACCTCTCGTCGACTTTCTCTGGCCTCAGCTGGTCACTAAATACAAGCCCATGCCGATATTTACACCCGAAGGAGGCAGCGAAGCGTTGCGCACAAATCTGGGAGACGGTTCTTCGAGATTGACGCGAGAGGGATCAGGACAGGTTTGAAAGATAATGCGGAGGATCGATACAGTTTCGACGGGCGTAGAATTTCGAATTTTGTCAAGGAGTTTTACGAATTGAGCTTTCTGTGCGTCGAGACTTCGATTGCGAGAGTGCGGCGACACTATAAACAACGCCATGGCTGGATGGTGCTGTGGTACATCGTCTCGGTCGGTCTGCCAAGTAAAGTCTGGATATCTTGGACACTTATCCCACTTGAGACAGTAGATCGCTGGTTCAAATCCAGCAAAACACAACCACATTTCTCGCTGCGCTGGTATGCATGGATGACGAAGGCATGCTTGGATAACCAAAGGTTTTGAATTTCCCTTTGGTGGGTACTTACGGAGGAGGGTCGACTGTTTGTGTAAGCGAACATACCTCATAGTGGCATTTGCAAATGAAATCCAGAGTATGAGTGTCTCTAACGTCAAAAGAGTCATCAAACATGTATACATAGCACTGGTCATGTGTCATAGCTAGATAGCTGAATACACATTAAATGATAAAAAAAAAAAAAGCCTAGTGGTGCTAAACAAGGAACCCATAAATCCTGCCTGAGGCATTTATCCAGAATCCTTACAGCTCTGATACTAAGTGGGTTAAATCAACAACTCTCCACTGTAGTTTTCAGACTCTTCAATCTCCCAACTCGCTTCACTAGGTGATATTAGACACAAGTCTAACCTCTTAAGCTTCTCTATACAACTTCCATTACAACAGATAATGCGCTACCTACACTACAACGATAGTTAGAGAAGCTGTCAGACACTGAGTGTCATATGAAAAATGTAAAGTAAAGTTGTATTGATGAAACCTCAGCTCCTCAACTCCTCTCCAGCAGTGATGCTATATACCCATCTGAAACTAATTCGAGGAGAGATTATCTTCCCGTTTCCCAAAATTACATATGAAATATATTACATGTGTTGAAGATCAAAAGATCTCAAGTCAGAGCTTTGACTATCCTGGACATCCTGAACATCCTGATCACCATATCCCTGGTGAGATATCAAAGCTCGAGTTAGTTAATCCAAGATGTGTCATCCCAATATCCAATGATTCTCATTACCATATTCAGTAGGTTCTAAGTTATCAGATGTTTGACAGAAGCCCTCGTTATATCACAACATGTGCTTCCCATCGGCGGTCAAACAAAAAGCCCACGAAAGCAAATTAAAAGACCCTTCCGCCCTCAAGAGGAGCATATTTCTACGTGTCAATAATATCGTCCCTTCTAATCTACAATTTAGAAACAACTAACCAGGAGGACATCTGACATACATGAGTTACCCGAAAACACCAGGTCTGTAACGACTTTTAGATGCTAGGCTAGGCTCCTTCACGGCAGTAACTCTCGACCAAGACTTTTCTGACAAACCTTCATGACCTTCGGTTTGTCCTGCGGCATAAGCCAGGTGAAGAGAAAGAAGGAGGATAGGAAGTTCGAGAGACGCTCTTATGTATTGTGACTAAACCTTGCTGGTCGTAGTGTACTTTTAGGAAGAGTAAACTATATGAAGAGAGAAATAGCAGAACTACGGGTAATGACTATTTGTAAATCCTTCTAGCTTATCCAGTACGTACTCCGTTGGTGAGCATGACATATCGCTCCGCCACTGCCCGTCGTTATCTTTGCCATCTAGCCTCACTCTCTGACATGGAAATTGTACTTCGCCGTCTCACATTCCTTCCTAGCTCCAATGTAATGTAGCCAAGTGAAAATTAGTCGCTTGATACAAGATAACATGGAACATGTTGTGCTGGTGATGGCCAGGATTACGATGCACAAGAGTAATGATCACTGAGGGTGAAGGAAGAACTTTCCAGGTGGCTCCGTGATGAGTAGAAGAGTAATGGAGCACTGCATAGAAATAGTTTCTTCATTGTACTACCAGATGGAGGATACTCGAATATTCCGTGATACTGTTTTGGGAAAATAAGGCGAGGGTCTAGCTACCTCAGATGTGTATATAACTAGCGCTTTCTACCTCCTAAAACCTCATAGTTCTGAATAGCAAACATATCAGCAGTTCACATTAATACATCTATAATCATCCGCTAACCCTCTGCCAATTAACCTCCGTATGCGCGGGCAAAGACGAATTCTTCACCTTCCAGTAGTGCCGGTGTAACCGCTCTTTTTTTTTTTTTTGCATCAGATTTTAATTGCGTATGCAGCTATCTAGCTATGACACAATATCAAAGAAAAGTACAGAATGGATGATTCAACGTAAAGGAAGAGCACTCATGCCTCAGATTTCATTTGCAAGTACCACTGCGAAGTTATGGTGGCTTTTTCTTCACCCCAAGTCAACCCTCATCCGTGAATACCCACCCAGGGGAACGTCTCAAAAACCCTGAGTTATCCAGGCATGCCTCCATCATCTTTCAACTTTTCTCCGCGCGATATGTGATCTGAGGTGTCTCCTTCCCAAGTGGAGTAGGTGCCTAGGCTACTGGTGTAACTGCTCAGTATGCTCTGCATACCTGGGATAGCCAAGAAGAATCGCATCCGAATCGAAGTCGAAAGCAAACACATGCATATCTCCATTTGACGACTTCTCAATCATGCAGCACTTACCATTATCTTCTGAGTCCTCAACCCCGATCTAAACACATATCATCTCGCCTCGCCGACCGATAAAGGCGTCACCCCAATTGCAAACAGGAGCTTGCCTCATTCATTACCGGCCGTCACTCTCTACATATTTACGACGCTATTTATACCCGCAATAAGGAAATCAAGTCGAAAAATACAAAGTTGGGGTCTTGGTTTATGGGGGACTGATGCTCTAATGGGGTTATACATCTTGAGGAAGGATAGGCGGCTGAGATGTGGAGCGAGAGGGGAAAGATGTCTCTAAAGACCATGCTGGGACTGACATTTTCGAGGAGTTATCAACTTTAGATTTTTTGTGGGCGCCAAGACCGAGATTTCGGCTAATTAGCCAGGAGGGCTTCTTGTTGTAATCCTAGTCCGTGCTGACATAACGTAGAGACGTGCATGGTCTAGGTCATGGATTAATATAGTCGCTGTGCCTACACAATTGAGGTAAGCTACGTAGTGGTTGTAGAGATCTGTTGAGGATCAGGATGTTGAGAAGTGATAGCAGTGCACGGACCAGCTTCTCATGTATTTAGACAGGTGGTCAGGCACTGCCCCCAAAAGTGTCCAGCACAGATCACACACTTTATCCATTATACTTTAGCAAATAATAATCCCTTCTAAAGTCTACAACTCAGTTCTCTAGCATTATATCACAACTGTCTCTAAGTCTATCCCAAGAATATCTCCAGTGCTCATCATTCACAACACTTCTATTGTCGATGAGTCAACGGCACTTCCCAGCGCCCTGGACGGCACAAAAGAAGCTAGGCTAAGCAACCATACAACAATCACGCTCTGTCAAGACTTTTCTGACATTTCGGCACGACCTTCAGGAAGGAGTTGGAAGGAGGCTAGAAAGGTAGAAGGTGAATTTCCCAAGGTACCCACAAGTCTGCAACGCTCAGCTGGCCTGCCTCTTCGAACGCTTCAGAAGGGGCACTATGTCTTCGCATTTAGTCCTAATGTCGGTATTAAAAGAGCCCCGCACCCAGTGGTTTTTGCGATTTTTCCCGGCTGCCATACACCCGCAAATGGCCATCTTTTTGTTGGCTGGAGAGGGGAGATAATGAAGGGCAAAGGACCCCTCTAAGTGTATGATCGAATGAGGACTTGTGAGGGGTGATACTGTTTGAGGAGACCTATGTGGGAGGCATAGGAGAGGATATACTACTGGTATAGGTATCCTTGGCCTGTAGGCAGAAAGGACCTGCATGTTCTACATAGTTATAGACTCAGATAGGAAAATAAGATGAATTAATTAATTAACCTCCGTATGCCATTACCTTTACAACAGAAGCCTTAAGACTTATCGTTATCATCATCGTCATCATCATCGTTATCATCATTGTTTCGAGTGTGAGTATTGTATATAATCTTATGCAGGTAAGACCACCAAGCCTAAGGGATATTAAATGTGTTACAAATATCTGGTCTACATAACTTTCCATTACACGGCATTGATTTGCCGGAATCTTCTTTTAAAATCACCAATATTTGAGGCCGAATGTGGTATCTTGTTTGATGTTAGAAATTGTCAAGGATTTCTGGGAGGAAATATCTCGAAGAACAAGTGTACAATTTCGGACAAGAATTTATTGATAGTTGTATATGATATCGAACTTTCTTCTCAATATGAATTAATAATATATTATACTCCATTAAGTTAGTTTTAATTACGGCCTCGCCTCAACCTGGCCCTAGGTACAATAGCGTGAGTACTTGTGGTACGTGCACGTTAGCATATAGTCCCTGTCCGCCTCTAGATACTCCCTCCTCATAGCCAATCTACTTCTTTCATCTCTACATTACAGCTGCCTTCCTGCCACTTCCTCTTCTCGTGATTGTTTTACATATATACATAAGTCTATCATTAAATACAGATCCCAAGGCTTTAGTGATTCCGAACTCCCAGTGATCTAGCAATAACCAGCCACTCAATTATAGCAAGGTAGCATTTCCTAGCCACTGCATTCCAGATGCCACTGAAACTTATTTCGTCCAACTGAGCTTAATCATATTCAATCGAATCAACTCAATTGATCTTGATGATCATACCTAGAAATCTAAGCCTTCATACATGCTTAGTCTAGATTTCCAACATTTGACGGATACGCATTCAGCATGGCCAAAAAGTGACAGGACGTGTGAATATCTGACATTCCCCTTTTTCACTCATCTTCAACGGGTAGCTGCTGTCATGTGTAAAATAAGCCATTACTGAATTGAAGCTACAACCACTAGAAGACCCAACTCAAACATACTATCACAAGCTTTTAGACTATTACAAACAAATTTGCCACCACTTGGCTGCTTTTGATCATGGATTTTTTCGACCTAAGACTCAGAGGTAAATCTGAGAATTCTTTCTTAGAGGAGTGCAGGGAATAAAGATAGTTCATTAAAACCAATACTCATGTGACTTATAAAAGATAATTCATAGGAGTGATTCACCTTTTCTCCTCTATCCGGGCTACATAAATGAACTGAACTTGTTTGCGTCGACACTAGCAGGAAGCAAGGAGTTCATCTCTTTCACTACGTCAGAACCAGTCGTTAGAATAGGAATTTACTTAGATCACTCTGTGATCAGTATTCATCAGGAGCCGTTGCAACTACAATTGTTCAGTCCCATTGCTCGTTATTTCTACTGCAGATTCTCAGCATCAATTGGCTATTTTCTTCATCAGCTTCAGTCTTCTTCTCAATTACATTAAATATTTATCTCCCATCTTCAATTATAAAAATCATAAAATTTACCCAACCTGTACTCAAAATGGACCGATTTAACGAACTCTTTGAGTACACCGCACGAAAACCTCTCACTCCAATACTCAATGAATTCAAAGAGTGGGTCAACACTAATGATGAACAAAAGATCGGTAAATAATCCTTACAGCTTATAGATATCAAAAACTAATTATGAAGCGCTCCTGGATATGTTTTACGATTTATGTAAATACTGCAGAAAATTCCGAGAAAATGAGGCAATTTCAACGCTTCACAAACAGCTTATTGAAATACTCCCAAAGATAAATTGTAACCAAGTTTCCATCACAAATTTGGACCCCCTCATCAACTCCGCCAAAGGCTTTGCTAGCGACCGTCAGATATGGATTGATGTCATCTCCATAGCCGACTCTCTCTCTCTCAAAACTTCACTAATCTCAACAGATCCTCAAACTTCAGGCGGACCACAAAAAAGTTCAAATGTCAATTTGATGCGGGATTTTGCAGAGCCAGTTGGTTACAACAAAAAAACTGCCTCCCTTACAGAGGCCCTAAAAGCAGAGTTGACAGGAAATATCTATAAATCTGTTGGCAACTTCTGGGAAGTTCATTTCGAGAGCTTAGCCTGCTCATTCCTCACAACGAGGATCTGGAAGAGTTATCGGGACAATGGACAATGTGGCAGAGACAACGTTTTCATTGATCAAATGGATGAAGCAGCTATGCGACGCTGGTTCTACGCTCTACATGACCGTTACCTCAGCCAATTCCTCGGAGATGCGGAGGAGCCGATCAGAGATGAGCCAGTGGTCGTAAGGTCGGCAAACAATCCGAAGTTGCGAGGGAAATTTTCTTACACCACAATCCTGACGCAACTCAAAGGAGGTCTGACGTCACAAAAGCTTGACTTTTTCATTGAAAATGTCGCGTTACCTGAAAGCGACATTCATGAATGGAGAGAAGTTAGGGTTGTGGGTGAGTTTACTTGCTCTTCGGGACAGAAGGGCGAGAAGGCACACCAGTTGATGAAATACGTGCGCGAGATATTTTACGCGCAGCCGCTGCGTCGTTTTGTGCACGGATTCTGCCTTCACAAGAATCACTTGGAGCTTTGGGTTGTCGATTGGTCGGGCGGGTACAGCTCAGGCGAAATTAAAATTATCGAGAGCCAAGAAAAGCTAGTCCGAGCCCTCTCTTCGTACATGCTGATGAGTGACGAAGAGCTTGGACTCGACTCATTTGTTAGGTATGTTGGACAACACGCCTACATTACCATCCCAGACGGCGATAATACTGGGGAGCAAATTGAGGTCGTGCCAGAGCCTGTAGCCCGTCCCGTTACAATATACTCGCGAGGAAACACTTGTTATCAGACGCCTGATGGCGAGTATCTGATCAAGTTTTCCTGGGGCAACGACATTAAACGAAGCGAGATCGATGCGTTGAGACTAGCCAAGGGAATCCATGGTGTCATCAATCTTTAGAGAGCCGGCGATCTGTACAAGATTGAGACGCACCGCAAGGATATTGACTTCTCGAGCGGAGAACAATGGGATATGAGAGTTTGGGGACGTATTCTGACCACTGCATTAGACTCGGCATTGTTGGACCGCAAAGAATATTACACCAAACGCGAGCTAACTGTCGCCAAACTCTCACCATTTGGACGACCCCTCCAGTCCTGTAAATCTGCTCGAGAATTCCTAGTGGGCATTCGAGATGCCATCCTCGCGCATCGACGGCTTTGTAACCAAGCGGGGCTTCTTCACGGTGATGTCTCTGAAGGCAACATAATTCTAAGTCGTCCCAACAAAGAGGGAGTCATGCAGGGAATACTGATTGATCTGGATATGTCATTGCTGATCGAGAGCAGTAGAAAAATTGACGAAGTATTTGCAATCACCGGAACCATGAAGTACATGGCGCTGGAGCTTTTGTGGAATATCAGTGAAAATAAATTCACGCTTCCGCAGAACTATCGGCATGATCTGGAATCGTTTTTCTACGTCTTGGTTGTGGGATGCATATGTTATGGTTGTGAACACAAAAGTCAACCGAAACACTTAGAAAAATGGTTCACTGAGTCTGCAAGATCCAACTACAAGTCGAAGCAATCTGATATTATTCAAAATTTTGATACAATGATTCTTGGTTATTTCTCACCGGCCTTTGATGGTGTCAAGAAACTTGCCAGAAACTTGCGCAAAATATTGTTTGGACAGAATTTCGACCGGTTTGGCATAGACAAATGTTCCGAAGATTTGTACAATCCGATCATAAGCGCATTCAATGAAACAATCAATGAGATTGTTGGAAAGAATACTCTTGAATTCACAAATATTTGTCCACGTTAATTATACATTTACAATCACGAGGTATGAAAATGGTAGAGAGGCAGCCTTAGGAATGTAAGATAGATTGGCTATGGAAGGAGAAATAGGAGTAACTACAGCGAGCTCTATATACATGAGGTGTGGGTGTTTGCTGAGTAATGCCAAGACTAGATTGGCATTCATGTCACGTGTAGGTGTGTCATGTTCAAGCACCTATACTGCCTTGCTCATTGCATGTTTGGAGCCCTGAGGGCGTAACTTTTACTGACCAATATTATTTAATTAGAAGAGCCCTTGGAGAAAATAAAGATGACTAAGAGAAGAAAGACCTCGGAGGTTGACCTATCGGAGGAAAGGAAGCGGCAAAGAGGATAATACAATTATACTAAGTACATGGAATTGTGGGCAATGAAATTTTATTTATTTTGAAAATATAACAAGAACGTGATCATTTTGCCAGTAAACTATTGTTGGAATGTTAGGAAAGTATAGTCACGAGAGTGTCACAGGCTCATACCTGGTTATCATTAGGCTGCTGCCTAACAAATAAGGCTTGAACTCTTCCAACCATATTAAACATCATACATGTCATGAACCCCTCCACGACTCATTAGACCCAAGTATAGGCCTTGGCCCAGTTCATGCAATTCTATTCTTAAATAACAAATTTAGATTGCAGACAGGACGACTCGAACACCAGTCGTGAGTCATCTAAGCCACATGCATCATAACTATTTTAATAACTAAAATTGCTAACATTAAAATGAAGCTGAACTAAAATAGACGGAGATGCTGGTGGTTGTCGGAGGACAGGTCATGATCTATTTTGAGAATGGTATGAAATGAGGGAACGAGATCATAGTCTTGTAAATAAATAGGAGGCTTTCAGTCATGTCTCTGCTCGTTACTTTAAGATTTTCATTTGTATCTAGCTCTGAGTTCAGTTTGAATAAAACGCCACTTTAAGACCGTCACAGAGAGTAAGATAATACGTAAGATAATATTCGATATGTGGAGAATATATAGACATGGTACTAGGAGTGTGGAGTGATAAATGATGATATTTTTATTGTGACAAGTACGGAGTGATAAAGATTTGTTATGTACTAAAAATGTGGACACCTTTCACTTGACCAACCAGCTGACTAAGCAGCATTTCCTGACAACTATTCAAACATATTTGAAGACTTACTCTTGAAGGGTGATAGTTCAGCAAGACGCTATCTTGACATTTTGTTTGAATCTTTAAATTGTATCAGAAAAGAGTCATTCTATCTTTATGCAGGTAATCCAATTATATTGGAATATTATCGACTTTTGTTGTGATGGGCATATTATACAGCTCGGATACTTGAATGTACATAACTGTTGAGAAATAAGTCTAATGCATTGCAATTCCAGGATCCTCATGACCCTTGTTATGGGTTTGAGTTGTCATCATTAGTCAGGAGTTATTTTTATTTATTTATTTATCTTTATTTAACGTCTGGCGGATCACGCGTCAAGCGAGTAACCCTATTAAGTCCCTACTGAGACAAAAGACGCCAGGATTTAATCTCTGGGCTTCTACATGTTTTAAAGGAAAGAAAAAAAACAAAATTAAACTATTTAACATATAAAGGAGGTGCATTCACATAGCTACTTCCCGCAGTTTGTTAGGCTCTTATTTGTGGTGGTAAGATACTTGCTCGGCGCCATTCTCTGTGCAGGTCAACCCACACTCCCTGTTGATCTCCACTACCGGAAAAATAAATTAGAAAAAAAAGGAGTCTAAATTGCTTATCTTCCTTCCTTCGTTTGCTGGTTTTTCGCGACACTTGAAACCTCAAGATTATGGGCAGATATCTGTATAGAATCGGGTTTCCTGTAGCCATTCTCCAAATCTTTGACCTCCTTCATCTGTGCCAAGAATGAACGGGATCATTTCCGAAGGCGGACCCTGCATTAGTCGTGATCTTCTTTTCGCTATATAACAGAAAAAGCAATGTTGTGGGGCTTTACGACGGCCACATCGGCAGTAATTTGATGCATTTTCATGATTGAACCGCTCGTGATAGTCAGCAAAGTTGCCGTGCCCAGATCTAGCTGCTAGAATTCGACCTAGAGTGGCGCGCGGAAGGGCAAGTTCTTTTGGCCTAGTGGGTGCTGATATTATTCCTAGCTTTTCGTAGCCTAGGTGCTGGGGAAGGAGATTTCTCCAGAGGTTGCGAGAGGCTTGCGTTGTTGACTCTTTTGCCCAGCGCTTTAGCCCCGCATATGTGAAAGCGAGGTCATCTGGAGTTGGTACCTGGCAGCCATCTTTCGCTGCTTTGTCCGCAGCTTCATTTCCAACTATCGATGCGTGACTCGGAACCCATCGGACCCGGATTTGGCCCCGTCTAGTGTGGGCCAGCCGAGAGCGGTCTTGCCATTTGGGATTTAAGGTGAGGAACTTGTCAAATTGCACTTGTGAGGACCCTGAAAAGGGGAATAACAGTCGAGTGGCAACTTCCAGATTATCTAGATAAATCCATAAATCTGTCGCGAATTTGGCAGTTGGGAGTGCTAGTGCGGACTTTGCCCCCTCTATGGCACCTTTTACTTCCGCATCGAAAACTTCGACGCCTTTTCCAAGGGCAAGACTTTGATGCAAGACTTGTACGCCTCCTTGGTATCCGATGAAGCCAGCGCCGCTCAAGCCGTTTAGTTGCTTAGAGCCATCTGAGTAGATAATGATGTCTCCGAAGGGGATGGTCGTAAGAAAGTCAAGGAAGGACTGTTTGTTTTCCTCTGTAGTGGTACTGTTCGGTCCAGCCACCCGGGATTGTGCAGCTTCACGGCTCTCACGTGGATTCCAAGGAGGAATAGCGATTGCATTGATTTGCTCTGATCTAGGGAGTGAAAGTACACGTCGGGAAAATCGAGAGGTAGCACGCTGTGAGCTGAGAACTCTGTTAGCACGGCGTAGTCGGACGGTGGCTGCAAGTGCACGGCCATCAAGGGCTATTTTCGGCTGCTGTAGCCCTGATTCGCGATGAAGTATCGCTGTTGGTGTGGTGCGATACACTGGAAGTGTCGCGCGGGCAGAGGCAAGCACGACCTTGGAGAGCTGTTGTAGTAGGGAATCTACACAGTTTGATATGCGTCCCGTGGGACCTTGTCTAGATCTGCCTGGCCACCAGGATTCTGAGGCGTAGTAAACGATGGGGAGGACACATGAATCTACTGCACGACGCAGTAGATGAGGAGGAGCCCCTCTTGTTGTATTACCAAGGGATGACAGAGCATGGCTAACCTTGAAGGCCTTTGAGGCGAGGGTTCGAGCGTGCCACTTAAAGGAGAGCTTTTTATCAAAGAGTACTCCAAGCCAGCGAGTTTATGGGCGAGTAGTGTTTTCAGAGACGGTAATAGCGCCAGCACTTACCATGGGAGTATTTGTGGGTTGTTGATCGAGTCGGCGGCGAGAGAAATGTTGAAGCTCATACTTGTCTTCGTCAAATTTCAAGCCCTGCTCTATGCCCCATTCCATGGCTTCCTGGAGGCTGAGTGAAAGAGATTCGGAATTTTCCTGGAGGGATGGAGAGGTGTTAGCCAGGAGTTAGGAGAACCGGAGAGCAAGATACCCTATACAATTAGCTTGTTTATCACGTGGTTATTGGGTTGTTTTGTTAGAGTGCACAAACCTGCACTCAAGATGTAAATCTTGAGTGCTGGATCCGTTTTCATTATATAATTTTTATAAACTCCTAACAAGTTGATTTCACAGACAAGTCTACCTTCCATATTTTATATTAGAACTCCTTAAAGTGATCATTACACATAATAAGGAAAAAGGTTTTAATAATAATGTAGTTAGATATTTACGCTATTTGTGTAGTTCCTGTATTGTTTGGGATATCTGCAGGAGGAAGCTCGTGTGGTCAGGAGCCAACTAGCGGCCGCACATGAGTATGAGTAGCGTGTGCTCGGCACTCTATTAGCATAGAACTCCCAAGTATAGTGAACCTCAGATACAAAATCAACCACAACCTAAGGTCATCAATCTACATACTCGTACAAGGTCAGCATGCAAAGTGATACTAACCTAAGCTCATGACCACAATAACTTTGTATAGTAGTCTGTAATCACAGACAAGGAAATAGGTTCATGAGATTGCTTAATGAGAGGTTAG